CCCGTTCAGTTATTGAGTGTTTTCATAGGTCAATTAGATGAAACATTTCTATTGATCGATTTAGCCTTCAATAATAGCTGTTGATTGGGTACTAGTACATTTTTGTAAAATGACGACGCCTTTAACTTGAAAAATGTATGAATTATTTGCTAGAATGTAATTGGTCAAAATAAATACCGGCTCAGACATGATTCATTTTTCCACCTGACGCGATGGACGAAAGACTTGTCCAAGCCGTTGATGGCGTGTGGCCATGCCCACGCTGCCATTTGAAATCCAAGACATTGCGAGCTCTCCGCGCCCATGTCAGTAGACACCACCGCGGCACACCGATTCGCACTAAGATGTGTCATCAAGACGTCCTGCAGCCTCTACATCAAAAAATTTCGTGAAAGCAATAGAGCCGCGCGGACACCCAAACGAAAAAAATACTTCAACTATGTCGCAGCATACAAGAGAGGTTCATTTCGCTGCAATGATCCGATTGCAACAATCAAAAGGTCTACTATTCTAGACGCTGGGTTTGGGTTTTTTCGTGTGTAGATCTAGTACCAGGCGACAAAATCACCTGGTATTCTGGCACAGTCGTGCAAGGAGAGAGACCAAAAGACACCCGATATGTCACTGTTTTAGATCTGGAACAAAGACTTTACATGGATGGCTTAAAGAAGCCCAAATTCGGATATGGCACGGGGTCATTTAGAAATCGCGAAGATCGAAACGATGCCTCGACAAGAAAAAATTGTGAATTTGAATACACTCCAAGCGCACAACGAAAATTATGGGTGGTTGCCACAAAACACATCAAGGCTGGTGAAGAATTGTTTACAACTTACGGTCGTGGCATGAGATTTGCATATTATATTTAGGGTGCGTTTGGATGAGACAAATAACGTGTTTTCGAGCCAATTTTCACTGAAATTTGTCAAAAAAGCAAATTCTCAAAACAAGAAGCGTTTGGTTTTGAATAACGTGTTGTTGTCAGAACGCTGTATGGCTCAGCCATAACGCGTTTTTCAAAAAGAGCTTGGAGGCTATTTTACACTCGGGTCTGGGCAGCTGCAACACTTCACTGGTACAGCAGACTGTCGGTTCATTTGTGGACTTTTGCTCTGGCATCATGACTTCAAACAAAGATGTGGTGGAGACGGGTGATGAAGACATTGTCATGGCCGCCGTACTTGTAACATTGCCAATTTTACTCTCACGCTACACCGCTATGCCAATGCGAACGTCGATCTTACGTCGCCGAGTTGCTTGAGACACCCAATCCAAGACGATTCCACGAAGTAGTTCGCATGTCAAGATCGACGTTCCATTCGCTTATCTCCAGGCTACAACAATAGTCATATCATATCTTTGAGCAAAAAATCATTTATATGTTTGCTTATCCAGTCAAACGACTTATGAGTTTGTATATGCTTTGCTTCCAAGGCTTCCACGGCTGCGATCAACGAGATATTTTGCTTGATTGAATACGAATCAATTGCTCGAATTATGTTTTTCTTCTGTTGACAAAGCGTCGTTCATTTTCTTTACACCAACGTGCACCATGATTGAGCTCCAAATCCTTCACAGCAGGCTTACCACCAAGTCCAACGTCCCATTCTCGCCAAAGATCTTTGATAGAAACAACACCACAACTCATTGTATATAGTGCCGATTGCGACTGGCCCTTCGAGAGTGACTGTAGCAAACATGCAGCTTCAACATTTGCAGCATGAATGGCTGGTTGGTTGGTTGCACCGACTGCAACGTTCGTGGTGTCATTGTTATCTTCACATTCAAGGCGGATGACACACTTACTACCATTTAAAAGGTTTGGTAGCTGTGAGCTTCTTTGTACTACAGATGATAGTTGTTTTACCTCATTCGAAAGCAAAGCTATGCTTGCGCTTAAGTCGCTATTCAGCCCATCTATTTTCTTTGCGAGAAGTGGCATGGCTTGGCTAAGTTGCATCTCACATGGGTCAATAGTTTCGGACATAATTGTTCGCATTTGAGCTTCAAAGTCAATATATAATTTGTTCTGGAAAATCTCGTTTTGTGATCAGGGTAGATTTGCTTTAGAGCCACAGAATCTTGCAGTGACACAGTGCGTAGGTACGCAACTAGATTGAGAAAACCACCTGCAGCAATTGTGACTTCTACTTTATTATTTTCAAGCTCATTCAACCAAAATCTCGTCCAAGGAAAAACAAATTCCAACAGCTCGGAGCTAGGAATAAGCTTTGATCGAAGCAAGTAGAAACGTCCCTTGTCCGTTCCAAAGCCAGCAAGCGCACGCATGGCTTTTCTTGGCAAGGTAGTCAGGTAGCAATTTTCAAGGGCTTGATTATTCCAATGACCGAGACGGCGTATTTGGCTTTCGCTTTCACCGCCCAATTCAGTCATTCTTGCACCAGAGCACGGCCCACATGGGTTTTCGCTTGGGGGTTTAGACCAGCCGATCGTAGAGCCGTAGCGATTGCCTTTCGATGAACATTGTATGAAATCTCTTTCCTTATATCATCACCACTTTTCAAAACTTTTATACCAAACCAATCAGACGACCTTAAAAAGGAGGGGAACTTTTTGTTTTCAACATGCCACCGCCAAAATAAGTAGAAAGCAAGGGCACTAATGGGGAAATATCAACCAGTTTGCTTCGAATGCAACCACCAAGTTCTATGCGGCCATGCTGATTTGTTTTGCCTTGCCGCATCACCGCAATAAGGGCAACGCATTGGCTAAAGCCTTCGTTTTCAAGTGATTGGGATTGCAGATCAGCAAGCTCCAAGGATCTCACGGATTCTCCACGTAGTAGACAATAGTGTGCTAAACAGAAGGTAGCCCAGTTTCGCAGATGGGCGCCATGATCGCGACTTTGCATCCAAAAGAATTGGGCAATTTTTTGCATTGGAGCAGTGGTGGCATATCCATCAAGTGGAGTTCCAATTCCACGATCAACAAAATTAATCCGCTTTCGCGTGTCTTCCTCGGCCTGTACTTGCTTTAATAGCTCCTTAACAGCATCTCTCCTGGGATGGGGGTTTGAATTGGACTTTGCTTGGCACTGGGAGCGCCAAAGCTTTGCAATCGCATTGACGTACTGATTATTGTTGAGTATCCAACAGATTTGGACTGGACGTTGTTGCCATTCTTCTTTCCCCTCCCAACAACGCACTCGCAAATAAAGAAGTGCAATTTGGATCCACTGACCGTCAAAGCATTGTGACCCTTAAACCCTTTCGATTCACACCATTGAATAAACTCCTTTTGTTTCATGTCATATACACATCTCGTGTTTTTTTGTTGTTTTCGTAGGTTTTTGATTCAGCAAGCTCCATTTGGAGCTCCAAGACCGCAGCATTTGACGAATATCTCATTCTTCTTGTGTGACGTTTTCTTGGCTTTATGTTGTTTATAGTGTTTTCATTTTAGCCAATCATTACAGCGGGACCTGCAGTGAAAATATCCAAGATATTTTATCGAAAGACCACCAAATATCCGAAGTCTTCTCTGGATAAGTCCAAGTCCTACCAAGACCTCGACGGACCTTGTACTCCGATACCTATGAATCTCACTTCTTAATCTGCTCTCTAACTTAGTTGTTGCATTTGAAGAGCTACTCGAAAGAGCCCCTAACCGTTCTTAGCTACCTCCTTCCGGTCCTGTCAATTGTCCTTGGCTAAAGTTAAGGGTTCTCGGTTCCTGTGAAATCCAAACGTCTCGATGTTTGATTGCTTTTGTGCGTCATCGCTATCGCCGCGACTGTCACAGAAGACTGAAAAACAAGCATACCCATGCGCTCTGTTCGCGCCCGTGTGTTGACGAATTCAACTCGTGGTACTTAATCAGAGGACGCTTTTAGTCAATAGTGATCCCGAGTCTTGATGATTGCAATTGATTTGGAGCTACGAATGTCGCGAATTCAATCATTCCAATTTTGAAAATTGACGACGTACCAAATCTGGCACTTCCTGTCGTTTTCAACCAAATTTGTATTTTTGATCAATATCGTTTCAAATCAATTTGACCATAATAGAATTATCCGTGAATTGAACAAACTCAGCCGAGTTTTCCAGAATCTCAAGGTGAAATTGTCTCAGAGGAGTGATTAAATCATATGGAATAAAACTCGGCATTAAACTCGAAAGTCGCATCCAATTGTAGAGAAAACAGTTTCATCATGAGTTTCATTTCGGTCTGTTGTAAAGGAGAGCATGAACACCCCTCAAGATAATCTACCCGTGAGCAGTGAAGACGCACAACATGACGACGAAGAAAAGCATATGGCCAAAAAGCAGAAGACGTCGAGGCACCTCGTCAATTCGCTTCATCTAAGCGTCTTGATTGCGTCGTATCACAATCATTTCAATGAATACAGTAGCAAGCATTGCAACACAACCCAGCTAGTTCCCAGCAAAGTCTGGAAGAAGGTGTACGATGAGTACACCACAGCATACCAAACTCTCCTTTTACGCAGGAAACATTGAAAATGCGCCTACGTGGAGAACTATCGGCACTAAACACTGGAAACAGTGACGTAAGTGATGGCAAAGCATGTTTACAGTCAGACGAGATACTATCAGAGCTTAGAATGTAGAATGACGAATGGACATGCAAAGAGAAATGTTCTCATCGAAAGATCAAACATTATCAACGGAGAGCCTGGCGTGACCATTCCACAGAAACCAAATGTCAAAAGCAAGATCCAGCAAGCAAACAAAAGCCAACTAACAGTGGTGGAAAGCATCGAGGGGACTTCAACAAAAAATATCATATTTTAGGTAAGGTGCAACTTTGAACCAAAATATCCAGTTCAACCATTTCATTGCACATCGACCAAGTGATTCCAAGAAATATACTGTTCAAAGTCTAACTGTTATATTTTTCATTGTGGACAGTGTATACTTGTCAAGTAGAATACAAATATTGTTGGAAAAGAAGTGTCCTACAGAGGTGAAAAGGAGATCGCGTGAAAGAGTAGTGTCCTGAATAGAAAGAAGCTAAAAAGATGCGCCTGCCGGGAGTCGAACCCGGGATGTCATGGCCACAACGTGAAGTACTGACCACTATAATACAGACACCTGGAGAAGCAGGGTATCGATCCCTGTACCTCCCGCATGGTAAGCGGTTAACTGAGTATATTAAAGAATTAATATGGCCCAAAAGGCCGCAAACTATTAACAGACTTTCGATTTTGGCTTCATAGGTCGCATAATAAATATGTGTTGCGAAATGTGACCTTGGAAGGTTCTTGTGGAAAATCGTCCAGTGTTGCTTAACCGAAATAGACTTGGGTGTGGGGTAATTTGGAGGAACCATGGCAGAAAGAAAATGTTGCATGGCGATTCAGACTGTGAAAAAATTCAACAGTATAGAGAAGAGTCATACAAGCAACTTTCTTTTCATGACCGTCTTGATCCGAGTTGGTGGTGGCGAGATACAAGGCAATTTCGGGTTGACTGTGGAGGACTTGAAAATTTATATACAAAAGTCTTGATAAAAATTCCAAGTGGAGGTACGCAGTGAAAAAGGCCAAGTAAATAAAAGCTTGAGTTGGGGTCGATCCATGAATAAATAAACCGACAGGAGAGGAAGGCCAAAAATTGCCAAAAGGGTCGAAACAGAATAAAATCAGGCCCAAGGAAAATAAATTGGCAAGAGGTAGGAGCCCAAAAAATCCAAAAAGGTCGTGGCCAATTTAATTCGACCTCAGGAGGCCGAGTTAAATCGCTGGATCCATAGGACAAGCTGGGTTTGAGGGAAAAGACCATCCAAAATAAAATGTTCTTGGACGATTTGACCAGCCAAAAAAATCACCGAGGTCGGCCGTTCCATGACAAGCAAAGTTGTTTTCAGGAGCGTCTTCATCGGAGTTGATGGCGGCGAGATAGAGAGAAAATCCCTTGTGGGTTGGGCATTTGGAGAAAACCTCCCAAAAATAATAAACCGGGTAAAATATTTGGGAGGTGCCATTTTGACATGCGCCATGCGCGGATAGGTCTCGAGCGCAAGCATCGTCGGAGCTGGATTTCGAACGGCGCCACGGTCCATGGAGCCACTTGGCAGGATCTTAGCCACGATACGTACGAAGGATAGCGCACCATTAGAATCGCCATAGGTAGCGTGTAGCGGGAGAGCGCTAGCCAAAACCAGTGATTTTTCCAATCGGGCGTCTCGGGTGCGAAACTTGATGGAGTCATAACTTCCGAACGGCTCTGAGATAGATAACCATACTTGGTGTCCTCCATCAATGGAGGGTAGCGATGGATGCACCATATTAATCGGTGCATACAGAGTCGTGTAGCTGAAATGAGCTACGATGGTCGTTTTGGAGCCTTATCGGCTCAAAATGGTTTGGAATCGAAAGTTGGGTTCCTGTGCTGCTATCATGGTGCTTGATAGCTCAAATCCATCGCGAGGTCATTCCCGCATGCTAAGCGGGCGCTCTACCATATATCTGAGCTACATCCCCTTTTTACTGTTCTTTTGTGTCTGTGCATCAAGTCCGCCAAATCGTCCACTTTCTTGTTCTGTACAAGGATATATTGTGACGACCCTTTTGCAACCAGGCATTCGTCGTGTCTATGGGATACTTGTATGCCAAAATGTCCCGTGGAGACCGTCGATTTCTTTGTCGGCTTGTTGGAGAACTCGTTGGTGTGGATGAAGCTGTTGCAAACCCGTTTTTTGACAGTACGTCGATTTCTTTTCTTGGTATCTGAGGGTGTGAATCGATAGAGCTTTTCAAAAGCAAGAGTTTGCAAGTAGTTTGAGGTCAATCGGAGCAATATTGCAAAAATTATGAGCAAAAACGATTTCGACCGATGGGACACGAACCGTTCACACCAAAAAGTGTCAAGCGATTGACAACAAAAGAGATGTTTTCTATCCTTCTTTATCCATGTGACGCAACCACAAACACCATTCAAAATGCTGTACACAATCTGGTTCAACCATTTCATTGCACATCGACCAAGTGATTCCAAGAAATCTGACGTACCTGTGACAGAGTATACGTAGTTAAATACAAATATTCGAATGTTATTCATATTTGAAGGTTCAAACGATCCTTCTTAACCACTTAAGCGGTCACAAGGCACATGAATATTGTTGTTTATCGGATAAATGCATTATTAGTCTTTTTAATTCATGGATATGGAATTGAATAAACGTATTTTATTGCATATTCGTTCTCTCAATTATCGTCCATCATTTGCAAAATCAAAATAATCGAATATGAGAGACTTCGATCATCCAACTAATTTTTCTTGAACCTCTTGAAAAATTATGTAATCAGTTTTGTCAAATAATTTCAATTAAACAGGTAATAGAATATAAGGATGAAAAATAAATATCACTCACGTCTACTTTTCATCGTTTCTTGTAATCTATGTGATTTTAAATGATTGTATTCATACAGTCGTTATCACCAGAAAAAACTGCATAGGAAAACTGTTTTTATTTCTTCCAGAGTGTAATTTATTGGGTCAAAACATAAAAAGTCCACTCGATGCTTTCCACCACTGTAAAGTCGAAAATGCTCCAACAACAAGTCGAATTACTGAATGTGCTTGCAGATGCCTTTCGAAAGCAAAGAGAAGACAGAAAACAATACCATGAAGCCAAGTTGACCAAATTTAAGCTGGAAAACTTGAAAACATTGAAAGCTATGGGAGACCTTACAGAAGACGAATTCAAACAGAAAGCTCTTGCATTAGTCGACAAAGACTAATCTCACAGCAACAAAAATGCATTTGATATATGCGTTGTTCTAAACCGTCGTTTAGCTTGAACAACAAGAGTGTAATAGGGAAATTGTTTGCAATTATCGCAAGTTAAAAATCACCATCCCATCCTGGAATGTTATCTTCATTTTGACTAAGTTTCTCGTACTCAAAGTTCATCTCATGTCGATGAACGAAGTTTGTCATTATACATCCCACAGTAAATATGATTGGAAATCGCTCTTTCGATGCGTCGAACGTCTTCATTAATCTGCGCCATTTTCTCTTCAAACCACCAATTCCCCATTCCACTTTAGTTCGATAGCCAGCGTGCATTTTATTGAACAGATTGATGCGTGATATGTCGGCGCCATCAGCAAATTCACGACTTCCAATGCGTCGCATGATGAACATCTCTTCTCCTACATATCCAAGATCGCCAAGTAGGTATTCAAAATACGATTCACCGACTCTAAAATGATCACGCCAGTGTTGATACAGATTGACGAAAAATATTGGCATCATGATATGGTTAGCCATTATCTTCAAATATAATCAAGCCATTGTGATCAAGTACGACAGTGTTGTTAAAGCAATGTACCAGTTTTTGTGCAATGGGTTGTTGTGTGGGCGACGAATCTTGCACAACGTGCCATCAATAAATCCTATACATCCAGGGAAATTGGGGATAGTTGATGCGAGCTGTTCATGTTGAGTTGCATTCGGCCAACGGATTTCATCTTTGCAAACTGCATTCACGCATGACGCGGTAAATTGTGAGTCATCGTTTGCAGCTGATCGTGACCAATTTCAATTGAATGACTCGGATGTCGTTGAATTATCGTGCTTGAGGTATAAGACAAATGCTAGTAAGCGCTGTTGTGGAGACAATTTGGGCCGACGACCAGAGTTTGGGCGATGCTGCAGACCAGTCGTCCGAGCGTTCGAAGCAATCACGGGGCAGACTAAACGAGAAAACTCCTCGAATTGAGTCTACGTGACATTCGTTATGATTTTAAATATGTAAGGTGAAATCGAGACAAGGGACATGATATCGCGTACTGGTTGCGATCTGTCCTCGCAGCCTTGGAAGTCCTATTCCACATTTTCTCTCATGAAGAAGTTTGTCCCACTGACGGCAGCATTGATAGAACATAGTATGTATATGCATTGTGGTCATCAGCTCTTCTTCGCTCGATGACGACGAGGACTCGGACGCATCCATGGTTTCTCAAGATACGACTCGTCCATTTCATCCGGAAAGGACTCGATATGAAACGTCTCAAATTTTCGGACAGCACAAAACCCGAATATGATACAGTCATTTCCTATTTCATGCTGACTTTATTAACGGATAACTCTAATATGTCATGTGTATCAGGGTGTGTTTTGCGTGCGGTATGCTAGTTATCGATTCTGATTGGCTGTTCGACTTGCATTTTGGAATTTAATCCAATTAGAAGAGCCCTTAATCGATTCCATTTTGTCAATTTCGCACAAATTTGGACTTTCCAGTCTATTGACCGAATCGATTTTGAATTTCTTTTTCTCTTACAATGTATTGTCAATTCCGGCCAAATTTGCCGATTTCGATTGATTTAGCCTTTGTGAAGAACCACTCAAGAATCGACCCTTTAATCTTTTTGGTCGAATTGAGGATAATTAAAATCCTGCAACACTGCAATGCACCAACATGCGCATATGAACTCCGTTTACTACTGCTTGTATGTTCACTTCATGAGCATTCTATTGTTTGGCGACATCCACTCGCGTCGTTGGCTAGGGGAGAGTTGTGCACTGTAGACCAACCTGGCGACGCACTGGTTGGGATGCTTATGGAACTGGGGGTTGTTTCCAAAAACTGTTGGATGCGACTTGGCTATGGATCAAGCATTCATGTGGTCGATACTTCTATTCATCGCCGCTTTTCTCGAGTCAAAACTTTGTGCCCAGATTTGATTGGCTGAAAACAAACGCAAAATTCCTCAAAACCTCCCAATATAGATATATTTATTTGTTTTTACAGTTTGCGTCATTGCTCGATCGATCTTGGAAATTTTGAGTAAAACGCACAATATCATTTACCAATACTGTTTAAAGAGTTCTTCCTAGAGCCATCAGCCACTCTGGGGATGCGCAGCTTTTGCGCAAGGAACCATTGTTGTTGCGATTTTCATGTTGATGTCAAGGCGGATATATAAGAGAGTGCAAAATTAAATGCATATGATTGGCTAAAAAATAAATTTTTAACGTGATATGATTGGCTGGTCAATTCACAAATCGATTTGCCCAGTCGATTCGATATGCCGGGCAACCCCAAAATTCGAATCGATTTGACAATACCTCAGCCGAATGAA